TTAAGCTTTCTGTTAGATAATATGCAAACGTTTCCACTTGGCACGATTCCATACGAGTTTTAGTGTTTACATACAACTTTTCGGGATTAACTAGCAACTTTTCTCGCATGCGTTGTTGTTCTTAAAGCCAGCTTGTTTAGTAACGAAAGTTGCTTTCGCATTATTGTCTTCCTACAACGCTTTGCTTTAATATCAAATTTTTCAGTTAAAAACTGCAGCTTTCACATTTCCTTGTCATAATTCTCAGAAACAAAAAGAAGCTCGCAAACGAAGTTAACTTTTCTTCAAGTGCTTAGTTTATTCTTTATGATTATGCTCTCTCTTTATGAGCTTAATGTTTGAGTCTTTAGCTTTCGGCACAATGAACTTTTTAAGCTTTTTTGTGTGCTTTCACGGATATTCCCTTAGAAAGCTTCAACTTCTTTTCGCAGCTTATTTGTCCACGCACACGATTTCACACACACACATGCGCGCGCATCAGGAGAGCCTGTGTTTGAAATTATGCATGATAACATTTTCAATTAACTAATTTTAGTGTTAAAAATACAAAGAATTTATTACAGTTGTGTGAAAAAAACTATGTAATACATAAAAATACAGTTTTTGAAAAATTCGTTGATTTCTAGTAGATATTCACACAGAGCGTGTTTAAATGTTTTTTCGCCATTTTATTTGAGAGTTGATTTTTTTAACGTTTTTGTATTTTTTATGACTTTGTATCAACACCACTGACCGTTATTTCGTTTGCAGCTTACACTGTTGCCCATTTTATGCTACTTCTGCATTAATTTAAATACCAATTTATTTTTCATATCACTTTTGACCCTATAATTTTCTAAAATGTCACACCGTAGTATTGCAGTTGCGCTTTTCTCCTTTACTGTTATTGTTGCTATGTGTCTATTACGCTTGCCTTAAAACCCAAAATATGTCGTTCTTTGCAAATATAGTTTTATTTAATTCTGATATGGTTGTTTCGCCTTTATTGCTGATATTTGTCCTTTACATTTCCAACTTCACTTATCTTCTACTTTTCTCTCGCTTTCATGCCTTCGCTAAACTCTCTCTCTAATCTAAAGGGGATATGTGTGGCCAACTTCTGTGTTATTTTCTGCTTCGATGATGGCAAATTTTCATAAGTACTCTTCAAAAGTTTCAATTTCAATTTCAAAAAATGCCTAAATGTAGGCAACGACTACTAACTCTCAGTTGGTCTGCATGGCGTATTTTCGAACTCCTCGGTTTAAAAACAAAGGAAGATGAAGCTGAGTGCAACATTTATTATTATCTCGTGTTCGTATACAGATCTAGCACTAACTTAGATTATTTAGCAAATACTGGTGCATACTTTTAGGCGTTATATGTATAATTTGAATTATTTGACGTGTTTCAATATGTTTTTGTTTTTTTCATCGCAGATTTTTTGTTTGCTCTAGTATAAAAAGTCGGGAAAAACAATTATAAGGCAAAGTTCAAACGTTTTGAATTTTTAAAAATCGAAAACGAATCTCACTGCTAGCTATTATAATTTTTACAACATCATTTTAGCTTAGAAACGTTCGAAAAGCTATGTAGAACAACTTTTGTAAAGCTTTCATGAGTTCATTTGTAAAATATATAGCGCATCGAGTCGTGCATGGCATTTTCGAAACTATTGTTGAAAGCTCGAACGCTGGAGTGAAACACTCCTTGAAAACTTATAGACAATGAACATTTGCACATAACTTTTGTAGTTGAAAGCTAGTGAGCTTTACTTGACGAAAGCTCCTGTAAAGCTTTCAATCAATGAATATTTGTAAAGAACTGTTTTAATCGAAAGCTAATGAGCTTTAGTTGCTCGAGCAAAACTTTTCTTGGCATTTTATAGACAATGAAAATTTTCACAGAACTTTTAAGTTGAAAGCTAGTTAGCTTTATTTGACGAAAGCTGTGGTGAAACACTCTCATAAAGCTTTTATTCAATGAAAATTTGTACAGAATTCTTTAAGTCGAAAGCTACTGAGCTTTAACTTATAATTTCATTGGCGAAAGCTTAATGCTACTAGAAAAGTATTTAAAAAGTTTTGTTGTAAAATTCTTTAACGTACTTTTAGAGCTTTTATACCTTTAAAACCATATATTTTTAAAACACCTTTAGCATACACCTTTGAAATACACTCGTAAATATACGCTTTAGCTTTACCGTCTTGCACTGCATTTGTGCTTGAAAGCTCTCGCAAAAAAAAGTTGTTTTACAAAAATTTGCTTGTGCAGTAACGTTGCTTTCAGTCGTAATAATTTCTTGTTCGGTCTGATTTTTACTCATTCATTTATCATTTTCTAAAAGGCTTTCAACGAAATCGTTTTTTTTAACTCTCATGCATGTATAATAATTTTTTCCGTTAAATTGTATTTGAAGCACACTTATTGGCATGTTTTACACATTTCATATCCCCTTTTCGCCTCCTCATCTAATAATTTATTTCTGTTCGCTGCATTTGCTGTTTCTCTATTTGGTGTCTTTGTCATTCTGCGTATGCCCTGCTCTTCTTTCTTCTTCTTTGTATAATTTTCATGCACTTCACTTTGCAATACAATTTTTCTTTTTAATTTAGACTTGTTATTTTTACTTGCCCATCATGTGCTTGCAACATTTTTTCACTTACTAGTCCTCCCTGCTTTACGCTGGCGTCTTGAGCGCGCTTTCCTCCACCCAAAATCCCTCTCGTCACTACTTGTTACTTTAATTTTTTTTTTTGCATACATAAAAATGGTTCTTTAGTTTGAGTTCTTTTTCCTTTTTGCTGGCTTTTTTTATTACAAGTACATACATATATAAAATTATATGTATATATATTTATATATGCATATAAATAGTAATCATAGTACTCATACTCAAAGTTTGTAATAATTAATTTAATATTTTTTGTTTTTGTTTTATTAATAATAATTATTTTTATAATAATAGCTTTATCTCATATTCCATACAATTACAGTTATTTCGAAAATGGTTTTGTTTTTGTTTTTGTTTCTTTTGCATTAAATTACTTTTAAATAATTTCAATTAATTTATATTAAATTAGTAAGTTTTCTTTATATAGCGCTTAACCACTTAGCATTTCATTTATTCATTTTTATTTGCTTTTTCTTGTTGTTGTTGTTGTATACAATTAATTATTAGTAGTTAATAATAGAATTTGTTTTAAAAATTAATATTAGAACAAAATAATGTCTTTTGTTTGTTTTGTAGATTTCAGCTTGTGCAACACAGTGTTCCTCCATCTGCAACATCATTTGCGCACACGCACACACACTATTTTACGTTAGCGCATATGCATGTGCTTGTTTATGCATGTGTATATACATAGATAATATTTTTTTTTTTATTTTAGCTTTTTTCTTTTTCTCTTGCTACAACAACTTTATGTGTCTGTCATTTATATAGAAATATATATGTATATAATATAATTTGTATATGTATACACATACATATATACCATATAAGCTGACACCACTGAATATGTCTCTTCCACAACTAGAGCTTTGTAGCCTTTGCTTACTGCTTTGTTGGGCTTACGTTAATTTAACGTTCAGTTTAAATTATTTTAAATTATTGCGTATTATTTTAATTTAAAATATTTTATTTTATTTTGAAACTATTTTATTTCATTTTCATATATATTTTATTTTAATTAAATTTTTTTAATTTTTATTAATTTAAAATTATTATCTTTTCCTTTAAATAATTTTATTTTAATTTTTTTATATATAAAATAATTTTTTTTTATAAATTAATTTTTTTAATATAAATTAATTATTTTTATTTAAATTATTATTTTTATTTAAATTATTTTATTTTAATTTAAAGTATTTTATTTTAATTTAAATTATTATTTTTTAATTCAAATAATTATTTTTTTTTTTAATTAAATAATTATTTTTTTTATTTTAAAAATTATTTTGTTTTTCTTTTTGTTTTCTTTTTTTCAACTACTACTAACTGAATTTTTAAATTCAATTCAAATTGCACACAATTCTGCTAAACTAATACACAGTAGTTTCAACTTACTTCTGTTTATTTCTTCTTTTTATTATTATTGTTTTTTTTTTTACTATTTAGAGTTAGTACATATTGTTTGCTCGCTCACATGCCGCCAACGCCAGCACACGCATGCTTGTTTGCATGTTTGTTTGTTTGTATGTATGTATGCGGCTGTGTGTTTGTGACCTTTTATTCGGCCAGGATATGTAGCCAACCACATACAGCCATACATACATATGTCTATAGAGTAGAGTTGGCATGTGAAAGCGCGCGTTTGCAGCAAAAAATATATTTTTGGTTTGTTTTCTTTTGCTGTCTACTTTGCTTGCTACACTTATTTAGCCTTTTTTATAATTTTTATTTAGTTTTTATTAAAAATTGCTGGCTTTGCTTTATTTCTACATTTGTTGCTGCAATACTTTTGCAACTGCAGGTTTTGCAAATATTTTATTTATTTTTTTTTTGAATTTTTTCAATTTTTCTTGCAACTTTTTTCGTTTGCTTTTGCACTAATATTTATGTATGTACTTATTTGCTCTCTGCTGTTGCTCAATATTGTCAAATCAAATATTATTTTTGTTTTTGTATTTCGCCGAACGCTTCTTGCATTTTGCACGCTAAATATTTCAAACTCGTCACTTTTAGCGTTTGCTTTTTGCAATTCTTGTTTTGCTAAGTTTTTTCATTTTGCTTTTTATTTTAAAATTTATTTGATATTTTGTAGATTTTTTTAATATTAATTATAATTAATTATAATTTGTTATAATTATTTATAATTAATTATATATTTTTTGTAATTAATTATAATTTTTTAAATTATTTATAATTTATTTAAAACTAATGTCCACTCAATTTCAATTTACAAATTCAACAAGCGAATGATTTTGGTGCGAAATTATTATAAAAATTATATTATGTAATGTAATAATAATAATAATTATGTATAATAAGTAGTGTGTATGCAATGAAACAAATGTAATATGCGCGAAATAATAATGTTTAATATTAAGAACTAAATTTTTAATACAATAGTCGTTTATATATATAACAAGTCAATTGGCGCCGGAAATATACATGCGTACATAATATGCGCGCTGCTCCTTGAGCATAAAAAAATTATTAAGCATACTTTTAGGCGCACACATGCACGTTTTTTCGCTTGCGCCTCACATACAGGTCCGCTAACTTCGCTTCTTTTGTGTACAATTTATTTATGTATATGTTACATATACTTTAGCATGCCGATATGCGTGTTTGTATGTATGTCTACATAGTTTTAAGTAGTTATTATGAACATTTGTTCCAGTCGAAATTCGTCAAAAAGTTTTTTTTTTGTATGCAAATTAAATGTGTGCTAACAAAACCGAAATCATTGTTGCGCGTAAATTAAGTAAATATTATATAATATGTAGGTATGTAATATGCAATTTAAATGTAGCTAATTAATAATTAAATTGTAATAATAGTAAATAGTAATAATTAATCATTAATAATAATATTTTATAATAAATTGTCTCATTAGAATACCAACGAATTATGCTACTAGAAAAATAAGTGCCTTTGATTCTTTTGTTGTAATTGTTGTTGTTGTAATTATTGTTGCTGTCTGCTTGTTATACCAAAAATTAAAAAGAAAATTCCGTTATGCTGCGCGCTGACGCTGCCGCCGTTGCAGTCTTCACACTGCTCTCTATTCTCTCTCTCTCTCTCTCTCTCTCTCAACTTCATGCAGCGTTGCATTTTTTTTTAATTTTAGTTATGTTTTTCTTTCAAATTGTTGTTTTGTTTATTTTTGTATTTGGTTTACTCAAGTGTTTGTTCGCCATTTATTTACTGTTGTCCTCTATTTTCTATATTTATATATGCCTGTGGTTGTGTTGTGTTATTTTCATGTAGTTCTTGTTGTTGCTGTTGTTTTTTTTTTTAGCTTAGAGAATTTGTATTAAATCTCAATTATATACATCCTGCTTCACTTCCACTTCATTCTCTTTTTCGATCATGCCTTCATTGGTGGCATTATTCCATGCGCCGTTCATGCTCTTCGACGATGAGAAGCAGAGTTTCATGATGAAGGGAAATTTGGTACCTGAAATTGGAGAGAAAACATATATTAGAAAAGGATCAGCACATGATATATGGGAGATAAGAGAAATGTTAACTGTAAATTCAAAAAAAAAATATTTCAAATTTAGTTTTAAATTTTACAATTAAATTTTTTTTCGACATTTTTTTTTTAAACTTTTTTAAATTCTATTAAATTTTTAACATATTTTTTTTAATTTAAAAATTTCTTTTTTAATTTTACATTTTTATTTTATTTTTTAAAAATTATTTTTTGTTAAACAAATTTTAATATTAATTATTTTACCTTTTTATTAATTTTATTCTAAATTTTTATTAATTTACTTTTATGCATTTTTCTCAATGACTGTAATATTACACATATATTATTTCCACTAGTTAAAATACAATATCTCATCATTTTTCAATTATATAACAAGCATTTGAAACCTGCAGTAACGTTTTAAATAAAATAAATTGATAATGCGCCAAAAAGTAGGCTATACTAATTCGAATAAATTTAAACTCACTTCTGATAGTGAATTTTTACTATAACAAAACATTTTCACTATTTGGTGTAAACTCACCTTTACCCTCAATTGGCAGATGATTGCACTTCATGATGGCCAAGACGGCCTGTGAAATATTGGGGAACTCAATTAGGCCCGATGAGGAACGCTCCGTTTTAAGTGGGAATAATCGCACTGATGTGGCGGGCACTTCTTTGATATTGAAAATGCCTATGAGCTGGTCTTCGGTCAAGCCGGGCGGTGTGTTAAAAAAGTGCAGAATCTGTGGTGGCATACAAAAAAAATTAAAAAGTGAGGTTTGAAAATTTAAAAATAATATGTTTATTTATGTGTATGTATGTATACAAAAATTAAAAAAAAAAATAATTGAAAAAAAGCAATAATTTTTTTTAAATAATAGAAAAAAAATACATAAATTAATTATTCTAATTTTTTTCTTTAAATTTAATATTCATAAAACTTTTTTAATTATTTTTTTTTATGTTTTATAAATTATTTTTATTAAAATATTTTTTTATAAATTGTTTTCTTTAAAAATTTATATTTTTTTCGGAAAATTTTTTTTTTTCATAAAATTTATTTCCTTAAATTTTAATCTTTTATTATATGTTTAAACAATTTTTTTTGAGACTTCTCTTTCATTTTCTTCGCTCTTACCTTGCTCGGTGGTTGTATGCGATTTTTGCTTGCCTGTGCTGGCGACAGGAAGCGATTATTCTTTGAGCCGGTATACTCCTTAAAACTGGGTGTATGATCGGGTAATAAAAATGGATTTATAACTTCGGACAGGAAATTCTGTTTGGAGAAGGCAATCTGGATTTTGCCACCATTGCCGACGGGAATGTTGTTCAAATGTTGGACACAGCGTTCGACGGCGACCGAATCGCCCATTTGTACCATGGCGGTGCCCTCTTTGGTTTTCAGGAATTTAATCTACACGCACAGGCAATAAATGGAAAAATTATTCAATTATTAAAAAGTTAACTTCTGTAAATATTTCGTTTTCAATAAGGCTGGTGAAAGCGATTACGTTGGATGAGTTTTCATTATTTTTTGTAATGTGTCAATCTGCACAATATTTATGGTTTTATTAATTTTTGAATTTGTTTTATATTTTACGCAACAATTTTAATGCTTAAATGCTACGCAACGTGCTGCTAAGTATATTTCGCACTTAACTCCTTATTCTCTTATAATTATATTTCATTGTTTTTGCTGAAATTTTTAGTATACAAATGTTGCTAACATTTTCATTTATTTCTACTTAAGTCAACTTTGAAAAAAAAAAATTTTAATATAATATAAATTATATTGTTTTCTTTCATTTTATATAACAAAATCAAAAATTGTAAGTAGTTTCAGTATTTTTGTATGTATTTGTGCATGTTGCTGGCAAATTTTCTTGGTTCTAATGGATATTCGTAAATATTTTAAAGCTGTTCAACTTGTTGCCAGAACATTTACTGTTTCTAGTAAAGCATAGTATGTATCTACTATAATTTATTTTACTAAAATTAGATAAAAAAATATGAAAAAATTTTAAATTTTAAAACCTACTTAATTTAGAAAAATATTTATTGTTGCTCAACATGTTGCGGATTTTATTATTTAAAAGTTGGTAATAGATAAAAAAAAAATTTTAATTATACAATTGTTATATTATTGAAAAGAATTATTTGTGTCGAAAATATTTTCCAATGTTGCTCAACATGTTGCGCAACTTATTTCTTAAGTCTAAAAGCTTTAAAAAAAATTGAAATTTTGCAATTTTATTGGTGAAAAGCATGCTACCACACGAAAAAAAAAGTTATGTTGCGCAACATGTTGCAGAAATTAAGATTTGATGAAAGATACAACTTCAGTTGGTATACTTGCAAATTACACCTGTTAATATGTAAATTATTGCCAGTAACATTTCAATGAAGAAAGTATTTTTCACAGCTCAAGCTTTATCTAGAAGTTTCTCAACATGTTGCCATGTATCTAAAAGTCGCAGAAATACATGTATACAATTATGTTACAATTTTAAACTAAGAGTTTACGGTCTAATACAATTTTTGTTTTTTAATAAAAAAAAAATTTTTTATTGTAAAATGTTTTTTTTTATTTTTAGTTTTTTTCGCAATAACTGTAATAATTTCGTATATATCATTTTCACTAATTAAAAAGTATATAATCATTTTGCAACTCTATAACCTACATACATCTTAAACCTTCATTAACGTTTTTTCAAAAGCATACTTAAATTTTAATAAAAATTATCTAAAAATATCATAGATTATATGATACCTTTAATGATTGTTATTTTCATACGTTCTATACGTTTTTTGTATCAAATAACAGAAAATAAATGTTGCGCAACGTGTTGCTAGAATTTTTATTCTACAGTAATATTACCAAATATAAGTATTACATCTTACAAAATTTTTATACAAAACATTTCTCGCAACAAAAAACAATAGTTGTTATGCAACATGTTGCTGCAACATCACTTTTGCTTTCGCAATAATTTTTTTTGTTGTTTTTCACCATTTCACATTTCACATATGTATGTTAGTTATGCGCTAGTTGCGCAACATGTTGCTAAAAGTGCGCCCCAAATAAAATTTTTACTGCCATATCACAAATCAAATGCCTCATATGCAATTCAACGGCATTTTTATTGCTTTGATTTAATTAAGTTTGCGCAATTTATGATTTTGTTTGTGTCTCGCTGCCGCTTTTTCCTTCTTCGTGCATTCAGTTTCCCAATAAACTGCCCAACAAGGAAATTCACCTACAAACGGAAAGCCAATGTAATTTTGATTTTGGTGGCAAGCATGTTGCAAGCAGACAACAGACTAGCGGTGGCAAGCGCGGCGTATTACCAAAACGTATCAAGTCGTGCCGCCACATATTTGTGGTCAATAGCCGCTAGCTGCAATAACCAAAAGTAGCGTGGCAAGCAGATAGCTGGCAGGCAAGTTATAGACACAGTTAGTTGGTGGCGCACAAACCAAGCCGGTGGGTCGGCCCAAAAGTGGCCAAAGGTAATTAGCTGTGCAATTGATGGATGAAAATGAATGCGCTGGTGTTTTACAGCAATAGCAATGTATGTGGCACATATGCATGTGTATGTATGCCCTGCAATTTTTGAGACTGGAGAGCAATGAAATGGTCAGATAGACATGGTGTACACAAGTTTGCTCGATCGATCAAAGGCAGCTGATAATGTTTTATTACTGCCGCACGTACAACGATATGCAGTATATGTGTGTGTTGCATGTTGCATGCAATGGTGGCAGGTTCAATGCGCTGCCGTACAAGCACCAGCTGCAAAGTCCGCAAAATACGCTCGTGCAAAAAGTTTACTAGAAATTGCCTGTACACATGTGTCAACTTGTTGGCAGCAGCAATGTGCAATACAAAAACAACGAGTAACAACTTTCAAGATTTTCACTTTCACTTATTGGCAGCGAAATTGCTGCTCGGCTGCACACTTGCTGTTGTGGTTGCAATGAAATGCTATTATTGTAATAAGTTTTTGTTGTTGTTGCAATAAAATGATTTTGTTGTTGTTACAATAAATTGTTGTTGTTGTTGCAATACGTTTTTGTTGTTGTTGCAATAAGCCATTGTTGCTTGAATACAAATTTTGTTGTTGTTGTTGTTTTATTATGTTACTGTTGTTGGAATTATATGGTATGTTTGTTGCCATATCGTTTTTAGTACTTTATAATCCAAGCAAGCGTTGTTGTCATTATGAAAATTGTTATTGCTGTTGTTGTTGTTGCTGAGGCTTTTCCATCTGCCATATTACAACATGCAATCGACAGCAATTAATGTAATCGAAATGCATTAAATTAAAGTTTCTTTAGAGTTGGCTTTCAAATAATATTTCTCAATTTAAATTAAAAGCTTTTGTAAACGGTTAAAATGATTTATATATGTACATACTCATACTTATGTTAAGTTGGCAGCATTTGTTGCCTGGAAACCCTCATACTAGAGTATAAGTTCCGAATGCTAGCTATTATATACATATATATTTTTTATATTTTTTTTTTATGAGCGCGTGTCTAAACAGATGACGAACCACTCATTTGAGTCCATCAAATCTACTTGGTGTAGGCAATATAGCTCTGTTGTCAAGATATGGGGTCCAAAAAAGAATACTAAGCGAGTTAGTGGCTTCCAGAAACAATTTTTAACTTCGAAACTCTCCCATAAAACTTTTGTTCGAACTTTTTTGGGCATATCAGCGTAATTTAAGACCACTGTAGGCATTAAAAGTTCTATCAGCCACCGATGAGCAGGCTTAAAAGCTAGGCAAGTAGGAAAACCGTGGTGGCCTTCGAAAAAGGCTAAGCTTTTATAAATCTATTAGGCAACTGTTAATAAGAAATTTCATATGACACATTTCCAAACTATGCTTGAACATACATATAATATACATATATTTCTGCACAATACTTACAGGCTAATAAAATGTTGATAGAAGTAATGTAATCAGACTTCAAGACAATATAGTTTTATGAATGCCTTCAGAGACACGGAATTTATACATAATCGAAGAGGAGGAAGAAAGTGATGAGAGAGAAAGAGAGGCAATACAGACATATATATACATACAGATGAAGAATGGTCCATATATAACTCGGCAATTTAAGAATAATGAAATCTTCCATTCATAAAAATTTGATTCAGCTGAAATGTTGATAGAAGCTAGATGTACACAACAACTATATATACAGCCGAAATGAGAGGAGGGAATAAATGTAGGAATAGCGGAACGGATGACAGTGATTTCCTTCCACATCCAACAGGCTGGTAGAAGCCAATCAAATAAAAAGTATAGCAGCAAAAGCAACCGAACCAAACCAAATCAGCGAACAGACATAGAACTTAATCGCCGAGGCCACAGCAGATGAAGCGTTCTATTAATAGAAATGGTAAACGCAGAGAAAAAAATGCGTTATGCCACAAGGAAAGAAAAGCAACGGAAAGGCGTTGGAAAGGCAGTCAAGCAGATTAACACAATTATGTCAGCGAAAAATGTTGAGAAACAGAGGCGTATATCAAAAAACGCCAGCAACCGACTAGCGCCACAAATATCAAGGCACAGCAACAACAATGCTAGAAATATCATAACAATTATAATAATAATAATAATAATGAAAAAGCAGCTGCTACTACAACAACAACAACAACAATGAATTAAAAGCTTACAACGCTGACAGTCGCCGCTGCCGCTGCTCATTTTATGACATTTTCGCGCGATTTAACACACAGAATTTAATTACTCGTAAGCGGTGACAGCGACAAAAACAATGTAAATGAAATAAGAAAGAGAAACGGGAGAATATGGGGTACACAGAATGCGAAGTAATAAAGTCGTAGTTGGCGTATGTGTTTAATGTGTGTAGTGACATGTTAGCTCCAACAAAAAGCATTTCAAAGCCATGCCTTAATTCACGAAATCCTCTATAATTTATTTCACTATGTAATGGTATTGCCGAAGGCTGATTTTGAAATTTATTGTGGATCTTCTATTTGGGTTGAAGGGTGAATTTGTTTTGTGAAAAAAGCTGTTTAAACCTTCTAGGGCATGTCATTTTGAGGATAGACAAGGGTTTTCTATATATTTATATCTTACATACATATGTATGCAAATTGTCGATATATAATATATTATATAGGCATAAATTTCATATAAATATATAAATATGTGCTTATATTTTCAATGACAGAAATACTATTTTGGAAATTTTGGTATTTCGGGATTGGGAACATACATGTTTTTTTATTTACAAGTTCAATATGCGTATGTATGTATGTATATATATAGCTGATGACTCTTTTATCTAAAAAAAATTACTTTGATATTTTCGGGATCGATGGCTGTAAATTTCGGGATCCCGAAAAAATTTCAGAATTGTATATTGATTATGCTT